GAATGAAATTTACAAAATAATAGGATAATATGGATAATAATAAAACGAGAAAGGAACGCGTCGTAATACCTTTCCTAATCGTTACGAAAATATATTTCCACTCCCCCTCCTACCAATATCACCAATATTTCACACAAATTATTCCTAATACAATCTCTACCTTCCAAACTACGATACCTTAACTCTTATTAAAGAATCCCTCCAACTTCAACAATTATCATCACCATTTTTCACTATGAATCTCTACGACAATCTCCTTAATCCCTAATCCCATTTCCAAACCCTCGTAGTTCAACTCCCCCCCTCGTTTACCTGTTAGCGGCCACGCGAGGATGATAGTCTTTTCGAAGCCATGGTAAGCAACTTTTTCCACTCTCTCAAACCCTCGAAGAGGCAGAGCAGTAACACCGTAAATAAATAATAGAATTTAGCCAATGAAGGCGGCTCAACGGTCGTTGAAATAGGTCCGAGCACTGACCCCACGAGCTTCGATCCGTCGCGAGACCGCGCTTAATTGAACCTCCTTGTGTATATATATATATATATCTGTATATGTATCTGTACACACGCCTATATAAAACGTGGATGCAAGCGCGAGCACAGCGCCCACGTGCAATTTTAATCTATGCGCGTGGCTGCATTCAACACCGTACGCATGTCGCTAACGCGAAAACATCGAGATGCGATTCCGGTTGTTCCTCGCCACACGAGGAAGTCGTTTCGAATTAAGATTCGAGCCGCGAATGTGTTCGAATGTGAGCGGGTGTACAACAGGAGAATGGTTTTATTTATTTTTATTTATTTATTTATTTATTTTTTTTTGTTTTTGGAATTTTGTTCGAGAGGTTTGCGGGGGTGGTTGTTCTAGGAAATAGAGATTTAATTGAGAGAATGAGGTGAAGAGAACTTGGTTAATTTATTCCAAATGGATATCGTTAGAGAGAAAATTATTGGAAAATTATTTTCGGTAGATTTATGATATGATATTTCGTTGTGTTATTCGAATATTTTTCTAAAGTAATGTAACTTTTTGCTTTTATAAGTTTGGAGAAATGTTAAATAGAAATCGTGAAATTAGGTATCTTGTAATTATCATTTTGAAAGATACGATACTGCATATCTCTATGCTCCTTTGTGTCTAATATAGTACGAATGATGGAATATCTGGATGAACCGGAAGGCTGAATCACGAGATATCTTCGGTCTATATTTTGTCAGTAGGTGTACAAAACGTCTGTTCAGAACGTATCAAGCTATTTAACGTTAAAAAGATAAAATGTATAAGTCAATGACCTTTTAGTTTTCCTTTAACCCCTTTTTCCTTTTCAATATTCTCGTATTCTTTCACGCACTCGCCATTTTTTTTATCTTCTCTTTTTTATGTAAGTTTCAAATCTAATTAAATCGTTGTTATATCTAATTTCCATTAGATTAAAAATTTTATTGTTCAATCAATAAGGATTGAATTTTTTCACACACGTCTTTCCTTCTTAATTTTTCAAATTGATTTCCGCGAATGAATCCTTTTCTCCCCGGATTGACATTAAGCTCTTCGTTTCGTTCTCTTTAATTTTATCCACGGTATGAAATCTATTCTTCTTCCGTGGCAATTTTAGCATTGAAAGCAGCCAGAAATTAGCCAGCGATCTAGATACAGACCGTGGAAATATTTAATGCAGATTGCTTGATCTCTCGGTCATTGCTCGATTATAATCCCCGTTTATTATCAATGTAACGGTTATACAGTATATATATAAGCAAGGTTTCACTGTCAATCAGCAAGATGTGAATGGTCATATTATAATATATGTATATATATTATAATGTATGCATAATGAAGTTTATTTTATATCGTTGATAAAGATAGAGATCACGAATAAATTGTAAAAGAATATAAAATAAAACTTGGATTCTTTAAAATAATTCGTAATATTAAATAAATATAAATTTAGAGTAATTATAATAAAAAAAAAAAAAAAATAGAAAGTCGATGTTATTTGAAAATTTGGGATGGATCGATCTCTAACTATTTATCATCATGTTCGTTATTTTATTTATCTATCGTTGATAATGTGATTTTGATGTTAATTGTTCCTATTTTAAGAGATTATATTCTTATAATTATTGTATTTTAATTAAGATTAAATGCAGAAAATAAAAGGAAAATGATTTACTGAAAAAATACCTTATTAAAACATTTGCTGGTCTTTGATAATTTTTAATTATCGTACTCTCGGTTTTCATAGATGCTTTCTCGTTGTAAACGCTGGTTTTCACGATGTTTATAAAGCGTAAACAAAATGTTTTACATTATATTTCTTCAAACACTTGATACTTGTTCAAAAAGCATTCAACGCAGTTGAAATTTTTTTTTCGAAACAAACGTGAAAATTAATATTATCTGTTCAAATATTTCCAGTTTTCGATGTATTTTTGATAATTTTTAATTAATTTAATTATTGGCGCTCTTTTGACGAGATTATTAAAGTAAATTAATTCGTTAATTTCTTAAAGAATGTCTTTTTGAAAATAAAGTACTGGTGTTTATGGTTCAAACTTTTTAAAACTAAAATTTGTAAACAATAAGATTAATTAAATTTTAATAAAAATATGTGAAATATTTTTTTTATAATTACAACGTAATCTTTAAAATATTCTTTTTTTTTATTTTATTGGTGAAATTTTAAAATATTAAACGAATTAATTATTACATGAAACTAAATTCTAACTTCATCTTAATTTAATATCAAATACGATCCTTTTAATTACACTACGAATTACATTTCGATTCTCAAGAAATAATTAAAGATAGATAAGATTAAATAAAAATAAAAAAAGTAATTAAAGAAACTAATCCAAAGAATCTAAATGAATTCTGTGCTTAATGCCTATCCAATTATCTTTGCAAATTAAGTACATATAATTAATTACATTATTTAATAAATCACACTCACACACACTTAAATACCAACTATTACAAGATGAAGAAAATTAATTTGAATTATAATCTCTTCCACGATTTTGAATAATTCTATTATATCTCCAAATTTGTTCTAGTTAATATTAATATCCAGAGAAAAACCGAGATAATTAACATCCTCATTCCAAACTGAACATTGTTCCATAATAGATAACTTATCAATTCTTCTCTAGACGTCTCATTGCATTAATTATTTTCCTAATATGAACATCATTGGACGTGGCGTCGGTTGCATGAAAATTAATCCGATTTGCGAGTCGATCAATCCATTATTAACGAATCGACCCGTGCAAGTTATCGATCAAAAGTTTAAAATTATATTATACATAATATAATTGCAAATAACAAAAATTTTAAACGTAACAACGTTTTTTAATATGAATTTTCCATTTGATTTCCAAAAAGATCAAACATCAATTATACATTTTCGAATTAAAATTGAAAAATTTAAAAAAAAATAATAATAATAAATTTTTCTCCAAACCCATTTATTAATATTAATTTCGTATCGGTGATTAAAATTAATTGAAAATTCGACGTATTTGGAAAGCAATTTCAAACTTTTGACCAACGGTGTATCCTTTCAGATATAATAAAAACGGAACACGCCAGACATGTTGGTGTATTCAAATTTATCATCGTGTATCCAGGAAACCGACGTTGATCTCCACCAGGCGAGATCCTATCCTTCAATCAACTAATATTATGAGAGGAATTTAATTTTCGATCGATAAATTAATCGAGATTTTATGTAATTGCGCATAATTCAATTTGATGCGCGGATCATGGCCGCGAAAGAGAGAAAGAGATCCCCCTTCTCATAAAAGTTTAGCTGCTAGTTTATACGTTTTCCGGTTCACATTTTTCCCATATGCGGGCATAACTGCCCAGTCACTGAATAAATTAGCGCTTTACGATGACATTCGGCTCGAAAACCGAATGAACATTTAAGGAATTCCCAGATTATCCCGAGATATAAGGAACGTGTCATATCTCTAACGATTCCTCGAATTATTTCGAAAAATGTAAATGTAGGTTTTTTACGTATTATAAATAAAAATATTTCTTTCCACGTCTTTCCCTTTTCCCCTTGTCTTTTCGTATTATTAAATTTCTTGAAAATATTTCTCAGAATAATCGATTTTCAAATTACAAATATAAATATACTGTAATCATTTCTATGATCGATTAACAAAAAAATAAATAGATATCGCATAGATTTCAATTAATCGATAAAAGAAACGTTAATAATAACGTTAAACACGAACGAATCGATTTTTGCGAAAATATATAGTGCAAAAGCTTTCTCTCTTTTGACGAATTGTACCTTTCATCGTCGACGAGTGGGTGTAACCGAGCTTGTAAGGGTTTCTATGTGAACGTGGCAAGTGGTGTTACTTGGTTTACGATCGTTCCAATTGCGGTCGTGGAAAAAAAAAAAAGAGACGAAATCGATTCCTCTGAAACCGCAATGCAAACGACCGTTATTGCCATACCACTCGCGAAGGCTATCGGGTCGTGTGTTAATAAAATGCATTTAAGGAAGGGGGGGAGGGGGGAGGAAGAAAGAAAGAAAGAAAGAAAGGAAAAAAAAAAAGGTTGTCATCATACATGGTGGATTGATTTTAACGACTGTCGCTTTCTTTAGACCTTCGATAACGATGTGTTGAGTATCTCGTAAAGTATTTGTTTAAACGGCTCGTTACATTGTGTAAATGAACGCCGTAAAAACGGTGTTTTGCGAGGAGAGCCTTCGAAGTTTTACAATCAGGTAGCAGTTCGATTAGTTTTGCTGGTTATAGTTATAAATAAATTTCGAAAGAATTTTTTCATTAATAAATTGATTCCGTCGAAGATATGGAAAAAATAACGATGGTATTTTGTTATAAAATACTGTTCTAACAAGGCGAATATTTAAACATGTTTCTTGTTAGAACATTTGAGAAGAGATGATTAATATTGTTTACACTTGTTCTTGATATGTATTTCATAATATAAATAATTAAAACGTAATACTTACAATTTCAATTGCTGTTTTTGCAGAAAAGCCGACAGTCAAAGATTATTATTAAAGCATTATTGACACTCCGATATGGTTGTGCTCACAGATCTATCTGAAAAAACAAAAGTTCAAAAATGTTAGATTAAAAATTATTTGAGAAATAAGTTATTTCAATATTTCTTATTTTATTCGATAATTATATTCCAATGTTTCTTAGATCCAAAATAAATACAATCGTTCTATTATTATTATTATTACTTTTTTTTCCATTTCAAATAAATTTCAATACTCTGAAAAAGTGAAAATACATATCTTTAGAGTTCACTCGCGATGGCACGTCGAAGAATGCAACGTTCACGCGGGCACAGGAGCGATGATCGAAAGGGGTTGCGAGAGACGGAGAAATGGACGGAGGGACGAAGAAAGAGCGAAGAACACAGCAAGGGGGGTTTGGCAATGCGACAAGCGCGACGCTGAAAATAGCAACGGGGTAGGGAGTCCGGTTTATAGTTAGCTTCTCTTATAGTTAGCCGCTGACTAGCTCTCTGCAGAATGCGAAATGGGTCTCCCAACTTTCTCTCTCTCTCTCTCTCTCTCTCTCTTCTATTTTCTTTTTCTTTCTCTTCCATCAAACTCTTCTTTATCTCCCGCGAATTCGCAGACATATTCGTTTCCAGTTCGCCTCTCCTTCGATCCTTTATCCTTTTCTCCATCGTTCGAACAAACTTCGCAAACACCACCTCGCTCACCCCCTAGTTTTAATACTCTCTCGCCATGTCTATTTTGGCCGAGTTTATTTCTGAATGTGGCGGTCTATCGTGGACGTCAGGATCGTGGACGTTCCTCTTTCAGATCCTCGTCTCTTGGCCCAGACTCCGCGGATGCCGGAATCTTGGGGAAAAGGAGAAACGAGAGCGCGATTTGCTCGGGTCGGGAATGAATTCCAACGACACGTTGCGAGTGTTACGGGATCTTGTCAAGTGGCGGATGTCTGGGTGAACGTGGAAAAAATTATGTAATATTAATTTGTTGTACCACCGTGTAAAATCTTTTTTTTTTTTTTACAAAAGTTAATTAAATATTAAGAGAGAGAATTGGTTGGTGTTGCAATTTATATTGTAATTATATTATAGTTATATTATATGAACATTGAGTATATTGTGTATTGAATTTCGAGGTTAATTTAAAATCAACTAAAAAGTCTAAATTTTTTAACGTGTGTATGTGTTGTTCCATGTCAAAGTAATCATTTTTATATTTCTCAAAAGAGATTAAATTCTTAGTAAAAGAAAGAATAGAATTTTTCTTCCGTTTGAACATATGCTCTTCAGCAATCATGGAAGAAATTATACTTGAATGAATCATAATTTTCTAATGTAACATATTCACTTAATACGAGGGTCTACTCCATCCACGCTTTTATACAATCAATAAGTAAATTAGATTCTACGTGAATTCACATGCTGAAACGAGAGATGAGCTCGTCGAAATGAATAGCTCTCTTAGAAAATAGCTATTAGAGTGGAGTAGGTCTCGAGTAAACTTGATAATTCATGACGAAGAGGTTTGCTACATCATGTAACACGTGCACACGTTGAAAATCGAACTTCTAACTTGAGTATTAGCAATGAATGAATAATGACGATTCATGTAGAGTAAGCAAGAAAATCGTAGACTTGAAAATCGAACAATTTATCGCAATGAATAAATATATAACGAATTAAATCCATCAACAATATCATATAATCTTCCAAACTTTATTCGAATTTTATTTCATACCTCATCGTCATTTAAGATTTCGTCTCTTCTTATTTTTATTTCTAATTCATCGCCCATTATCGTTATCATTATACACTTTATAAATGAATAATCTCTTTCTATCTCGTTTTTCTTCCAATCTTCCTAATTTTTTCCCATACGTTCAACCATTCAACCATTTATTATATTCATAAATATTCTGACGGTACTGGTGTTAATTACGTTCAATTCATCAACGTTTTGATTGACAACCGTCACGACCAGCGAACGAAGCTACTTTATACGCGTCATACTTAACACAGGAATCAGCGAAACACGCGTCGCAGGATTGACGGAAAGCCGAGATTAAATACAAACACTTGGATTCAAAACAGCGAGGGAACAGAAGATGGAACACAAGAAAGCTTTTCAGAAAAACTGCAAGACAGTATGATTTAGCGAATTTCGATCCGTGAGAAAGGTTTCGTGGAGCAAGAAGCGTTTAAAACTAAAATAAATAAACGAGAGGCGAGAAAAGAATGAACGAACGGGACGAAAAAGTTCCGACGATTTCTAGCTCTTGCCGCTCCTTAACTTCTCCATCCAAGAAAGAGAACACTTTGTATATGATTTTTGCAATTTGATTTTTAATCAAGAGAGATTGTTAAGGAAAAAAAGTTTAATTTTTTAATATAACTTGTCCAATGTAACGACAATTTATTAATTGCGAATAATAAGTCGGAATTTTATTAAATGAATTCTCGATTCTTCGTTCGAGACGGCTGATCAAGAAAGATGATCGCTCGACGTCAAATGAAAGCTGTTTTCCGTGAGCGTGACTTCCGCCGGATTCGCGTCGACAGTGCTTCCATTGATAAATAGACAGTCGTGCGCGCGTTTCACACGAGTCGATATCGTTTAGGTTTGGAACGTTATTGAAACGAACATTTATTCGAATAAAATTTTGATAGATTAATTTATTCGAAATAATTTTTGTTTCGTTCGATAAATTCCATTGGAATAATATTTTTGGCTTTATTTTATATTGCTGTTATATTTAAAAATATAAATTTGTTCGTCGTCAATTAAAAATTAAATATGTTTGTGTAAAACTGAATAAAATATGTAATTGTATTTTGACAGTATAATAATTTATACTGCTATTAATTGAATTAAATGTACATTTAATTACAAATTATAAATTATTCTTATCGTTAGGACGGTATTTTAATTTATTTCTTTTTACACGTGATTCAATACTTTGTGTATTTTTCTCTGATAATTTTATTATATAAACGTATATTCGAAATTCGGTCATTGATTACAAACTTATTATAATTACAAACTTTTACTTCTAATTAATATAGGCACGATCCAACAGTAAATGTATCTTTTCCACACAACCGGTCATCAGTCCAGTAATTGGAGCACAACGGACGTTTTTTACTAACGTTTTATGGACGAAGTTAATAACTTTGAAATTACAATCGACATACATTTACTTGCTAGGTGGAAAAAAAACGATGTGCATTTGTTACGCATTATAATCATAATGAATAAATCATTAAGACGTAGAGCATCTTAATAACACAATAGAATCTCCATTCTTCTCACTGGAATAACAAAGTTACGTGACTGTTTCAACAAAAAAACATAGATAATATAATTGGCTCTTAAAATTAATGTTAAGTTATTTTTTTAATAAAAAAAAAAATCAATCTCAAACAATATTTTCTCCTCGCATAATCATCATCCATTCGATTCTAACGTCGAAGAAATTTTATCTACATTTTATCTACATCACTACACTTTTTCACGTTACGAATAAAAAATTAATTATTCATCCACGCTATTAGCTTTTCCAATTTGTACAAGTCTCTTTAAAAAAAAATATATATATATTCCCACTAGAATCCAGACGAAATGAAAATCGATCCCATACTTCGGTTAATTATCATCGAAGGCCCACAAAGGCCAGAAAAGCCACTTTTTAAACCACGACCTGAACCCTTCAACAATTTCAACGATTCCTCCCAATCGTATCATTCAATCTTCATCCTCGCTCGACCATACATTCGCATCATCCGTATAATCCAATAATTATAACCCCGGGCCACCTCGCCCTTTGCCGAAAGAAATAATCTTATTCCAACCGCTGGAGCCGGCCACTCTTAAACTAGCCTTACTAGCCTTGTCTACCTGACGTTCAGGTCCTAAACCATCCGAACGACCTATTCTCAATTACTCCTCGATTCCATCTTCGATATATATATATATACAACATCGGCGTATATAACGTGGTCTCCTCCACTCTCGAACCGAACCGATAACAATCCTAACGCCAGAATCCACAATGCAACGAGGCATTATAACGTTATGCGCGCCGCGGGCTGTCGTCGTTAGACCGAATGAGCCCCGTCCTCTAATTACAAGCCTCTTCCGACTTGACTTTTACGAGACAGGCCGGTATACGATACGATATACGAGCAATGCCCGCGACAAAATAATTAACCTAAACGAAATTCGTCTCCCTTAACCTGTTATCGCGTTAATTTTCGCTCGAAAATTTTTTACATCCGCGATAATTTGATAATTTCGAAACTTCGAAATCGATAAATATTTATTTATTTATTTGTTCTTTTATTATTATTATTACGGTGATAATAAATCGAATCCAGATTTCGAACTTTTAAGACGATACTTTCAGGTTTCTTTTTTCTTTTTTCTTAATTCAAGGTCAGTTTCTTTCCCTCGATGAATCTTTATCGATTTGTGAATGTATCTAAAGGCAGTAATTATATACGTAGATTAATTAAGACATTTTTTTCTTTACAAATGAAACTTTCGAAATTCTAAAATTAAAAGCGAGCATCGATCTCAATATATTTTTTTTTCACCGTATAATTATCAAAAATATATAACTTGGAAGTTTTTCTTTTTGCTTTTGCGTACGAATTAAACTTTTGAACTCTTAGAAACCACGATCAGTATCACCGTGTTACTACGGTTCCGAAACGTACGCTCGTACGTACGCTAACATCAAATTATAAATAGACTGAACTATCCCATTTATCAGCGTCAATAGAGCCGTAAATTTCGCGGCTAACTGTTCTCACTTTACCATCTGGACAGGACCGAGGTGTCCGCTCGCTGCTAGAGAACCAGAGAAGAGGCCGAGAGCGCGCGGGATACGTTGCAATCATCCGCGATTTTCAGGATCTTCCGCTGACTTCCTCCACGTCAACCATCTTAGATTCACGCCGGATAGTACAGGGTCGTGTTAAATGGCCGGCGCAACTATCTAGATCCAAACTGACTATTTCTGGTATAAAAGGGAATACGAGGGATGGTGGGGAAAAAAGGGGAAAAAAAAGA